TTCTCTGTCCAGTACACTAAAGCACTGTACCCGCTCATAGCAGCTCTCTTCACACTTGATTAGAAGTTTTCACCTCTTTCTATAAAAGTTCAGTAAAATACGAATCCTGTTGTTGCATAGAGAATGTTTTCCTTAAGAAAACAATGCTATGGAGCAACTGTTTTCCAAAATAAGGAATTCATTTGCAACATGGATAATGATTAAATACGTGTCTGATTTGCAAATAATGTTTCCTGAATTCACCAGCTAGCCTTGCCTATCCCTTCCTCTGTCTTTCTTCCTTCTCTTTTAAAAGACATTGGACTTTAAGCCCTCGGATTATTTTTATTTTTGAAAGGCTGCCTCGTGAATACATTGTGTTTGTGAACACAATGGTCACTAATGCTCACATGTATCAGAACATAAATCTGCCTTCCAAAGGTAAATTCAAAAGTGCAATGAGTTCCTGGATTTCTAGCTAGCGCCTCGCTAATGCTAAGGCTGCTGGCTTTTAGCGTCATTTTCAGTAACCCAGTAACAAATTTATTTTACAATGAAAATCAGGATCTCTGATTCCCACTCCAGACTTGCTAAATCATGCTTACCCAGATGGTCCCCGGAACATGTATCATGATCAGCTCCCCCACATACCTGACTTTGCTAAGGGGTAGTGTGAATCAAGGACATTAAATACTGTCACATTGCAATGCTACCACCAGACCACTACCACTCAACCCCCAAAAACCCTTACATATACATATATATATACAATTTTTACATAACTATATAACAACTATATATCCATATATCTGATTCTTACAGGATATATAATACATGATTGTTTTATAATCATATGTAATACTTTTAATCACATTTATGTATTTACTTTACTTTCATTTTAGCGACTGGACTCTTATTTGAACTATTTCCAAACTAGCTCATTAAATACTTATCTTGGAACTGGTATTATCTTAAATCATTGCTAGCTTTGAGATTGTTGTACTTATTGCTGGATGGTTATAGCCTACACAGTTTCTAGAGTAATAGCTAATAAATAATAATAAAAAGTGAAAAAATAGCCCTGCAATGTATAGTGAATATTTTGGAAATAATTTGCATTAAGCCAAAACTTAGAAGTGCTTTTTCATGTTGTGCTTTTGCTAAATTAGAGAAGTGTCTCTCTTACACCCACTGAAGGAAGGAGATTGTATTTGTGAAGGGAGGGGCCTGGGCTCCACCAATCTCTTCTTGCACCTTGCACATTTGCTTCTGAGGTATCTGGCTGACTATCTCAGATTCCTTTCCATACTATATGTGCTAAACCAACACTATACGTACTGACCTCCTGGTAATTTCATTTTACTTAACACAATTTAGTTTTGGTATTATTTTACTTAATACTTTGTTCTTTAAGTCAGTTTCAGATTTTTTTTAAAAAAAGAATCAGGAATGTAGCATCTATCACCCTTCTATTAACATTTTGCATTAACAGGCAGTATAGTTTACAATTGATGAGCCACCATAGGGCATTGTTAGTATTGGAATAATCGGTGGACCCCAGTTTGCTTCCATAGCTTTCAGAGTGAAGATGCCCCCCGCCAAGTTACTAAATAAATTGCCCCTCTGAGAATCCTTCCAAGCATTACGTTTGCACCTATATCTCTAATGGTACACTTTCTCTTCCTGAGTCAGTTCTTGGTTCATATGGGAGATGCTCCAGATGACAGGGTGCTGAAAGCATGCTGGCTTCCCACCTCTTGTCCAGAGAACACATCAATAGAGGGAAGATGGTGGAGAAGGGTCATCCCCTTAGAGAAAACACAAAAAAGTAAATGGAAATAAGAGATGATGCTATAACAACAGAGGAGCACGACTAAAAAACTGGGCGTTTAGTGAAAATGCTGCATATGGAACAAAATGTATGCCTTATTCGACCATTACTAAGGATAAACTAAAGTATGCACTGTGTATAAGGAAGTGGCTTAGGGTTCAAGGGCTTATGTCTTGCATGTGCAAATATCTGCATATGATCTCAAGTACTGCATGCCCATCCAACCCCCACCCCCAGACACCACTGAGTATAACCATGGAGGCTTCTAAGCATTGATGGATGTGGCCCAGGGAACCCCTGAGTATCACTGGTTCCAAGCAGCTCTCTATTTTTGGATGCTAGCATTGAATTCTCAGGCCAATTAAACAGATCTCACTGGGAGTGGCCCCAATGTCCCCTGAGCATTGGGGATCCCCCAAAAAAATGAATTAAAAATAAGAAGTGCCTTCAATGTCATACAATAGCATATTGAAGATATGCTATTCCTAGCACTAATCCTAGCACTATAATGGGAAACCCAAAAGCAAACGAAAATGCCCATCAGAAAAATAAAGCTAAAAATTATTAAATCCGCACATTGAAATTCTAAGTAGCAATTACAATTGCTTTTCTGAAAAACATTTAATGACGTGGAAAATGCTGATATTACAAACTGTATTTTGAGAAAATATGAAATCATGAATATGCATAAGGTATATTTATAACAATGAGAAAACTATGAAGAGAAGCTATCTCTGAATAGTGTGTTTAGTGATTTTTTTCCTTGTATTTTCTAGCATCTTCAGAATGATACAAAATTGTCATAACTGAGAAAGTTAAAAGTTGTATGTATGTGTTTGTTTTCAACTATGAGTGGCACTTTGGCTGGCAATAGGATGTGCCATAAAACAGAGGTAGAGGGGACTTCAGGAATCCAGGCAGCTAGACCAGGCAGAGGTGCGTCTCTCAGGGGCTCAAGCAGCTGCTTTGGATTCAGGATTTGCAGTGTTTCTGTTTGGGGCATCATCCAGCGTCTGCACTGTTCTCAAGGGACAGTGCAGCCTCTTTGTCACTAATTCTGAAACTGGGATCCAAATGTTCCAGGTGATCCATGACAGGTTGTCATATTATCACTCTAACACTTCTCAAATTTATATTTTATCTTTCAGTTTCTTGTTTTGTTTTTTGTTTTCGTTTGTGGATTTTGAACCACAGCCAGTGGTACTGAGGAGCCACCATAGGTCTGATGCTTGGACTGACTTTTGGGAGTATTTAGAGGACCCAATGGTGCTAGGTATCAAACCCAGTCTCCTACTTGTCAAGTATATGCTCCAGTCCATTGAACCTCCAGTCAGGTTCTCTATATTAGCATTTACACAATAAAAACATTTAAAATTACAATAGCAGTGGAGTTCAATTTGGAACACATAATATTAAATTATAAAATATTAGTGTCATGAACACATAACTTTTCTAAATATTTCTATTATAATCACTTTCCAGTAACCGATTATGTCTCCATTATGTCTCTATTTTATTTAGTGAAATGATTACTAGATCGCCCATTGATTATCTACATATAGTTATTTGATTTTTTTCTCCCTTTTAATGGTTTGTTAAAAATAAATTTAGGATAACAATAAATGAAGTCAGTTACACTATTGAATATTTTAAGTGCTCATCACAAGTAATGTAGATATATTTGTAAATACAAATTGTAAACTGTAAAACAGCATTGGGAAATTGAATAATTTTGATCACTGTTTCTGTTAAAATAGTTGTGAAACACCCATGAGGCCATTCAATTTATTTCACTAAATTGATGCTATAAAATTTGTTTTGTTTCTAAAATAGAGTGAACTTGTGAATTTAGCTCTAAAGAACAAGATTGCAGACATGGTATTTTACTCCTTGTCTCTTTCCACTTTTTTCAGAAAATATATAACTTGAAAATTCATTACATGCTTAAACTGAAAATGGTCCTTAATTTAATATAAATTATTTCAAAATACGTTCTTGATGTCAGACAATTTTGTATAGTTTAAATTCCTACATTACCAAGTTCTTTTTATCAACAACATATCACTATAGTCACATATTACACACCAACAGAAAAGTTACATGTATTTACTCATCCGAGTACCTTTGTATATAAACTTAAAGTTCCTGCTGGTAGCTTAGAAGGTAATTAAGGCACATACATGCTGAGTTACCCCAATTTTGTCAACATTGAATTCAACTGAGGAGCTGGAGAAGTTATACAGTGAATATAGCTCGTGCCTTGCATCTGGCTAACCCAGATTTGATCTCTGGCACCTAATATGGTTCCCTGAGCCTGCCAGCAGTGATTCTTAATTAGACCCAGGAGTAAACCCTGAGCATAGTCTGGTGTGGTCCAAACAGAAAGAAACAAAAATTCAATTGAAAATAGGTTTATTTTCACGTGTATATTTAGAAATTTCTAGGTCAGAGAGATCGTACAGTGGGTAATTGCCAGCATCACATTTGATTCTCTGAGCACTGCCAGGATTAATCCCTTAATACAGAGCCAGGAATAAGCCCTGATAGCCAGATGCAGCCGCATCCTCCCCCCACCAAAAAATATTGTTTCCCGTATGTGTGATATGAATTACTAAAGCAGATAAACTGGCATTAAACATCAAAACTAACTCCCACAGTCTTTAAAGAATAAGTTAGTTACCATAGTTAAAGAAAAGAAGCATAGGAGAATAAATAGCTGGGGTTTGGGTGATGATATGGCACAGGAAATTTGGTGGTAGGAATGGAACATATTAGAAATGAAACTCTTAAATTATTTAATACTGTAAACCAGTGATAAATCAATGAGAAAAAAACCCTGCAAATAACTTTTGTAAACCACAGTGCCTAAATAAAAGTTTTAACTATATATGTGCACCACAAACTTTAAAATTATTGTATCCATATCAAACTATCGTACATATAAACAGATTGAAAAATAAAAATGTATTTATAAAAGATAGCAAAATAAAAAGTAAAAATGCTTCTAATTTCACTGAGGTATAATTGACAATATTGTAATATATTTGAAGTATACAGTGTGATTATTTGATATATGTGTCCTTTGTGAAATGAGTCCCACAATAAAGTTAATTAATATATACATCACCCTGCACAGTTACTTTCTTTTAGCGAGTACTTAAAATTTATATTCCTTTTTATTTTCTTACAGGTGAGCACATTAGACTGGGTACGGGCAGAAAAAACCTATAACCTCTGTGAGGTGCTATTTAAAGTTCACAAGGTGGGTGTTCTTTGCACATTAGATGCTTTCATATAAATAAGAGGTCTTGGAGATTAAATTAAATTAAGGAGGTTAATGTGCGTTTGCCACAGTCTATTAAAATCACAAAATAGCATGAAAAATTCTAGATTAATTCTCCTATCCATCCTAAAATTTGGCATCCTGTTGCTCATTGAGGCGGCTAGTTAAATGATGGATGATGGATGGATGGATGGATGGATGGATGGATGGATGGATGGATTGACAGGTAGGTTGATGAATGAATGAGTTGTAGATGAATGGTGTAGGTGGGGTTGGCTATGTGTATATACTCCCACTCGGAAGTGTGTTTTAGTTCCAATTATATTACTGTATTCCAGGAACTTTAGTTTGTTGCTATTGCTGCTGTTTTATCAAAATATATACATATTTGTCCTAAAAAGTTTCTTATTTAAGCTGTTCCTAATTACGAAAATAATTAATCCAGTAGCTCTATTAGAGGAGAAGTACTCACTGGCTAAGAAGGCACAATTTTTATTTATAACATTCCGATCAACCTTTCAAAATAATCCAATGTAGTTGAACAATTCCATTGAGCTAAATTCTTAATACAAAATGAACTGTCTCTGTTTCTGCTAGGATCACAACTCTTTGTGTAATGAACACCCTTTCCTAGTAAGAATCTATATTAGAGGATATCAGGGCTTATCTCATACATGCTTGCTGTCACCATGTTTTGACATGACTTGCTATTGACATAATAGGGATATAAGTAACTAAACATGTCAGTGCAGATTCTATCAAATTAAATGATCCTAGGAAACAGATATTTTATAGTAAATATTTTGCAATCCTTAGGTTGAAGCATTAGCTATATAAAGAAGTTGGAATGTTGGATATAAACTGAAAAAAACATGTAAGGAAGAAATGAAGATAGTTCATTGTCATTAAGAAAATACAAACAAGAGGGTATTAGTTGCTGAGTAACCACTCATCTAACATTCCAGAGGAAATAGTTCCCACTATATGACATCAGACCTGGTCACATAAATCTTCTGGTTCATGGTGTTTAATGTTTGTGACTTTATCATTTGATTCCTTATGGGTCATGATGCCAGGTTTGGATCAAGTTTGACCTTTGTTCTCCTGCTGATGCTATCAAAGTCCAGTATTGTAACCAATTATGAGATGAGAGGATGAGTGATATGTGGGCAGAGATAAATCAGTCAAGCTGGATCAGCAAAAGTCTGACTGACTCACAAGTACAGAAGCAGGAAACAAGTAATACTGATGAATGCCATAGAGATATTGTGGCTCTGAAATAAGAAAGGTGATGCAGCTGGTGAAGTGCATGGGGTCTAGAATTGCCCTTGCCATCACTTAAAGATGTATTATTCCTTTGGCCCTCAGTTCTTCATTCATAAAATGGGGTCCATAATAATTATGCTTCATATTTTATGACATACTTTGTAGAAATTGGTTAATGGCCACAATCCCTCGCATAATAAAGAGCTTACTTAGCCAAGTCTCTTTAGGTCAGTTTTGAGCTGTGTTCCTAAGAGCTCTTATTCTGTCACTAGCACCCCAAAGCCAGGACAAGCCTAGGCTAGTGAATCTCAACCTTATCTGTGCATTAGAATTTTCTGAAGGAAGTTAGAAAATTTCAGGGGTCACAGTGTCAGGGATTGAAATGTATGCTTTGCACATGGGAGACCTGGGTTTGCTCTGCCAAAATGCCAGGAGAGACCACCAAGCACAGAGTCAGGTATAGTCCTGAGCACCTCAGATGTAGCCCCCCAAAAAAGAGTTTAAGTCTTCATTTTATTTTGTGAGACCCCAAAATATCTATATCAATTAATAAGTCTTCTGGAAATATTAATGTTATTGAGTTGAAGGTGTAATATTGAAATAATTATAGATAAATGACACTGTATTGTACTAATACTTTCTTTAGAATAAACCATGAGTTATTAAACTAGATAAAACATTTGTAATCAAAGGCATTACATTCATACTATTAACAAAAATATGAAGAAGCTCATTTGCTGTGACAATGATAACAGTAGTCTTTAATCATGCCTCTTCTTTGTATTGCTTTTTTAAGATCATCCTTTTCATCTTGACAGTAGTTGAGATTCACTCAAAATCACTGACTCATACACTAAAATTTAAAGTCTAAAAGAGAGAAATAGTATTTTATCTTTGTTTTAGGCATCAATTGCTAAGAAACACATTATTTCAAAATGATCAAGATTAAAATACCACATGTGTCTCTAGTTTCTGTGGGGTAGAAATTTTCCAACTCATAATTATTTGCAAAATTAATTCCAGGTCCTATGGTACCGACCTAACTGTGAACTAGGGAAGGGTCCACTTCCAAACTTACTTAATAACTATCTCTAGAATTTAATTGCTACAGCATGTGAGAATAGGGGTGGGGTTATGGGGGTCTGCTTCTTGCAGAGTTATCCAGGGTCTCTTCTCATGTTCTAGTCAGAAAGCTGATTCTACCAGATAAATGACACTATCTACATGCTGTTAGTTAAATGGATGATTGACCAATCAGTAGATCACTAGGTATAAATGGATAGATAATGATTAGACAGATACCAAACAAAGCTCATAGGACAATTTGGGGCACAACACAGTTGGTGAACAAGCATACTTTGACAATGAATGCTAAAACCAAGGTGGTGATAATGGATACATCTGGTCTTTAAACTTCATTGGACTATGAGGATTAAGTCACATGCTCTGGAATAAAGCTTTTTCCTATATCTTATCTTACCTTAAATGATAATTAGCAAAATCTGACAAAATCTTTGGGGAAGGTTAAGGTAGAGGACAGGAGTTTGACGCCTTTATTATATACCAAGCAGGATGTTTTGTTCATTCAGAGGATGTAAAATAAAGCAGGAAGATGTGTATATAAATTGAATGCTAAAATTATTTAAGTTTTTATTATGCTTTGTCTGAGAATTTTACCCTAATAAAAATCAAAAACTGCAACTTTTGAAAGATTTTTTTCTTTAAAGTTTGCTTTTCCTTCTTGTACGGAAAATAGAGTCAAAATAATTATCCTAATTGTAACTGGTTTACTTTACATTTAGATTTGGAATTTTAGACTGCATCTAATGTGACTACACATAAGGGAAGTAGTCCCTTAATAGTATCAAAATGTCTTTTAGATTGCATCTAATGTGACTACACATAAGGGAAGTAGTCCCTTAATAGTATCAAAATGTCTTTAAAAAAGAGAAAAGAGAAACATTTATATCCATTTTTGAAAATAAATTTATTTGGTTGCATATTCCTGCAATTTTTTCTTCTTGAGTATCATAACCAAAGAAAAAGTACTGGTTAATTTTATTTTACTTTATGATGTACATTACAGCTTGAATTGTAGTGATAAGCTATAGTGTAAATAAAATTATTAAATTTTGATAAATTAAATATAACAAATTATTTATACCATTTTTATTTTTTTTAAAGAAAATTGAATTCTGTAGTCTTAGTGTCCCTTTGTCAGCCCTAAGATAGCAATCTTACAAAATAGTTGCCTTTTCTACATGCCCTTAATAGTTGACATTGGTTCTTTTCTCATATGTTAATTTAAAATGTTTATATGCATTTAATTAACTTTTGAAAAATTGAAATTAATGTAAGTATTTCAAAATCTAGCGCATTTTTATTGATTTTATTTCACAATTACCATTTCAGAGAATGGTCATTAATATTTTATACTTGTGGTTTTGTTTTCCTGTGACACTTTCTCCTTTCCAAAGATTTTTTTTCAGTCCCTAAAATGATGTATTCTATATTTCAACACTAACCAAGAAATAGATGAGAAAATTGCATCAATCAGCCTTGATTGCAATCGTGACTTGAATTATGAACAGTCTCTACATAGTGTGCAATAAAAGCTTCATTCATCAGTAAGGAACATCCTGTGTGAAAGCAAAGCAAATGGATATTTCCTGTCAACATAAGAATATTCTATTTAACATCTCCAGTAGAATTAAATTTACTTGTGAATATGACAGAAGGTCTGGGTAATAATACTACCTTTATTGAATGTTTCCCCTGGAGCCCTGCTAAACTCTCCTATTTGTATCCTGAGTTAATCCTCTTTCTACCTGAGAAGTTAATCTATATTATCTCTGTGTTATGGCTAAAACCTCAGAAACACAAAGTAGGTGTATAACTTCCAGAAGACCCACTTGAGACATACTAGGACCCAGTCTTCTTTAGCTGAAACTACATTTAAATTCTATTCATTTTCACTTGTTAGAAATATTAGTATATCTGGGAACCCTTTAGTGTATAAGTTTTGAAACATATTTTCAGTCTTCTAAGGTCATGGAATTTGCATAATTAGAAATCTAAAGGAAAGAGTTCCTAAAGGATGCTCTTGAAAACCTGTCAGAGCAAAAGTTGCAAGATTCAAAGAAAAAGAGACATTTTTCATGTGGATTTTCAGCCACTGAGAAAGAATAATCCCAATTCCATTAAATCAGAGGTGGGGCTAAGGGGAAATCATAGATCCTTTGTGTGGGCTAGTTGAACCAAACCAATTGAATCATGACCTTCCTTATGTTTTCATCATAGGATGCAGTTTGCAGATTGTAGAAGGCCCAATGGAGTGATGCCCAATACAGGGACAAGAGAAGGGGCTATAATTCCTAATACTGCATTCTAAAGAGGGGACTAGGTTCTCCACAGACAAGAAGGTACTAAGTTATAAAATATGAGGAGACTTTCAAACGGATTTACATTAACGGTACAGAGGTTTAAAAAAAACGAAATGATAGGTTTTCTAATATAAATTCTCTAAGTATAGATGGCCAGAGGCTAAAGTTGGAGGAACCAACTAAAATTGGTGCCTCTGAGGGCATAGGCAGCTTGCTCAGTCTCTCACTGTCTCTAGACAGTGAGTCGGACCTTTGACCCTTTCAGTTCTGACCTGTGTGTAGTTTTGTTACTCCTTCAGAAATCTTCAGGGGATTTTGCAGGTCATTCAACAGCCATTTTTAAATTCTTACTTGTTCTTGAGGAGAGAGCTCAGTTCACCAATGTGTCAGTTCAGATGAAGAGTCACCGATGTCACTTGACTGATCTCACTCCTCAGATCTCACTTGTGTCTTACTAATTCAGGAGTCAGTCTGGGCATGAGAATGGCTGCTGGTATTCTTTGTGACCCTTTGAAGCTTTATCAAAAGACCACTGAGAAACTGAAAAATCATTTGACATCGTAAGATATTTTAAATGCTTTGGCCTGCTCTTCAAGCCCATATTCTCTATTGAATTTATCGTATCTTGCTGGCTTGTCTATGTCTCTTTGTTTGCTTGCTCTTTCCTGATTTCTCTAGAATATGTATTCCTTTCCTTCTCTCCCTCACATTTCTAAGTTTCCTTCAATAAAAACTATCTTGCTTCACTAAAGGTGTGTGTGTGTGTATTTAAATACTAAGACCTTATGCTTGTATAGGATTAGGCATACAGATAAACATGCATTGGGAGTATTAAAAAAAAGACAGCAAAAGGTAATATTAATATAATATCTCTCTTAAAATTTCAAAGTAGGGAACAAATGTGGATAATTTTTGAAAATACTAACTCTGATTTTTTCTATTTTCAGAGAATAAAACTTATTTATTTCTGGGTTGTTTTTTTTATTTTAGTTTTCACTTTTGTGACATATCCAGTGGTGCTCAGGGCCACTCCCACGTTGTTGTTCAGATCCATCCTCACAGTGCTTGGCCAACCATGTGCAATACTAGACTATGAAGCAGGGCAGGAAGAAGACTCTAGCTGTAGAATCACTGAGAAATGCTTCTAGACAGTGTGGTAACTGACTTTACTTGGTAGCCTGTTAGATGAACATTGGGTACCAAATTTAAATGCAGCTTATGACCCAGCAGTGCCTTAGAGACATTTCTCTTTATGTAGATAAATAATAAAGTAGCTAGAATTTAAGATTCTTGAGTCATGTGCTTTATCTATGCTTCATTTAAAGACCCATAACAAACTTTTTCTTAAGACACTGCCTTATAGTTCAAAAATGATGCAGACAAAAAGGAAATGGCTCAAGATCAACAGATAATAATTATCAAAGAGATCTTGATTTTTACCTATTTGTCTCCAAACATGTTTTTCTTCCCTTATAATACACTTCACCCAATTATAACCACTGACAGAAAAAAGTAATTAGCTATTGAGTTGTTGGCATTGTTCAGATATACACTTTCATGGAGCTCCTCTTTGCTTGTCAGTCTTGATGTCTTGACATTTAAGTTCAAACATTAGAAGCGTCATTTCAGAAAAGTTGGGGTCAGCAACTCAGCAACAGCTCAGTGTTTTCTTGTTGATGACTCAAGTCCCATTTGTCAAACCATTGTATATTCCATTTTGAGATGAAGAGTCTGGCAGTTCCAATGTAGGCAGTCTTTCTACCTGAGGTTTATTTAGTATTAAAAATCATAGGTAGCACACACACACATGCACGCACGCACACACACACACACACACACACACACATACACACTTGTATACGTATACCCTCTTATAAGCATAAGCACAATATACCCCAGGAGTGTACACAAATGTTACACTCATACATTCTTTCACACTTGCGTGGGCACACACGTGCACACACATGTGCATGAACACACACACACTTTAAAAAATGGATAGTGTCTAATACACCAGGATTTTGCCAGTTGACCAGGGAAGAACGAAGTGAAAAATCTGTTGTGTTGTTTTTAAAGTGAGTAAAGAAAACACAGAGCCTCATTGGAAGCAAGGAGCCCACTATGTAAACAGAAGTAGTCCTTTTTACCGAAAATATGCACCCAAAGAGCATAAGAGGAACATTTCAAATAAAACCATATAAACTACTACAAAATTCATGTGTATTGAGGGTTAACTTTAAATGTGAATGTGCACAAAGTATGTCTGGCGTGGCTGGATATACCAAATCTAACAAAATACCTCATAATCAGGATATGAATAACCACATGGGAACACTGAGTATCTGGATGGAATGAGTGAATAACTCTGAAAGAAATCTAGAGAGGTGGTGTGTGTGTGTGTGTGTGTGTGTGTGTGTGTGTGTGTGTGTGTGTGTGTGTATTAAAGGAGGCAGAGAGATAGAGTCAGAGGGACAGAATTGGGATTGCAGATATGGAGAAAAAAAATGGAGTTAGGGAGAGGTCAAACAGGCCTGATCACACTGACAAGAAGGACCCAGTGTTGATACTGGTCTTAGTTAAGTGAACTCTCTTCTCAGGCCTCTACATCAGTATGATGTGGGTAGTTGGAAAAGTATTGATAGACTTGATAGACCTGAGTGTTTCATGTGTAAAAGAGTCACAGAACTCAGAGTGACCTGATCCCCATGGAGAAATTCTTTGATGAATGAATACACTGTAACATAGAAACATGGTTGACCACAAATTTAACAACCGTGCTTTGTTTGCTTTAATCTTCTCTTTTTTGATAATTTATTGAATTACCTTGTATTAAAAGTTATAAAATTATTCATGATTCCCTTTTGAAGGTATTTATAAAAATGCCTGTCAGTGTATCAGACTCTAGATGATAACATGGTCAAATCTGTTGGTAGAAATCCTGTAAGCCCTCCTTAAGATGCAGGAAAACAAGCCTCCAGGTGGTGAAAAATGTCATAATACTATAGGAGCTCTGGCAGAAGAGAGACACTGAGGAATGTTGTTTTCATTGTTTGTTAGGTTTATGCTTTAAACTTGAGTATTAAAATTTCACAACTTTATCCATAAAATCAAACACAGAAACAATTTTGTGATTAGAATGATGTTTTTGGCTTTGAAGCCACACCCAGCGTTTCTCAGGGCTTACTCCTGGTTCTGCACTCAAGGATCACTCCTGGTGGAACTTGGGAGGACCATATGGGGTGCCGATAATCAAACATGGGTCAGCCATGTGCAAGGCAAACACCTTACGTATTGTACTATCTCACAAGCTTCCATATTTTATTTAGAGTTAAATATTTTAATTAATTTTTAATTGAATCACAGTGAGATACACAGTTACATAGGTGTTCGTGATTGGATTTCAATATCCGTCTCTTCAGCAGTGTACATTTCCCACCACCTACATCCCCAGTTTCCCTCCCTCTCCCCACCCCCTGCCTCTATGACAGACACGTCTCTGTCTGTCTCTCTCTGTCTCTCTCTGTCTCTCTCTCTCTCTCTGTCTCTCTCTCTCTCTCTCTCTCTCTCCCCCAACCCTGTTTCCTTTTGGGCCTTGTGGTTTTAATACAGATACTGAAAGATTATCAGGTATATCCCTTTACCTACTTTCAAAGAGATAGAATATTTTAAATGGAAGAATGGGTATGAGAGGGACATACTTAATACAAATATTTATTTATGGGTTCATTTCCATACTGACTTATAAGAAGACCTTCTACTCCTGAAGTTGCCTACAGGTTTGTGCTCAAAAAATCTCCACAAAGATTTTCTGCCTTGGTTGAATGCACACCTCTCTTTCCTGGGGAATCTTGAAATAGTCAATGAAATAATCTTCCCTCTCCAAAACTTTTCAACCGTTCCCCTTTTCCCAGTTCTGGCTTACAGATGACTGCTGGTTACAAGCAAACTTGTATCTGGGTCTTCACGACTTTGATTCTGAAGAGCAGAGGCCATATTGCTTCAGCGTCCTCGTTGGTCATGGCAAGAGTCATGTCTTCCATGTGGAACTTGGGAGTGAGCTAGCCGTGTGGGAGAAATCATTCCAAAGAGCAACTTTCATGGAAGTGCAGAGAACTGGGGTAAGCTGGAAAATCTTACTTGAATACTAAAATGTAGTCATTAGTGCATGTGGAGCAATTTATTTCAGAAAAAAATGACTCTTTAAAAATTGAAAATTCTTCCTTACAATTGCCTTGTCAAAATTACCTATGCAGTATGCTAAGTGGATAACAGGAATGATTACAAGAAAAGAATGGGACACTGCTTTTTATGTCCATTTGCTTCTGTTTGTTTATTTTTTCCATATAAAAGATTATGCTGACAGCAAACCCATGTTACCAATATGTAACAGTTTCCTCATAAATTGTGTGTAGGAGACAGAACATGTGAATGCAGTTCCTCATAAATTGTGTGTAGGAGACAGAACATGTGAATGCAATTTGTCATAAAGTTACCTGGACATTTGTAACATCAAAGCACTTAAATAATCCTCCCTCACAAACTCAATGATCCAAAAGAAAATATAAAGTGGCGTGTCTGAATTGCTTTTCCTTTCTCCCGACAGCAAATAAATCACTTGCAAATTTTAATATATAGCAATGGAATGAATAAAGAAGAACGTACTATAACCTCATTGTCATAAATAGTGGATCTCCTCCCAGAGGAATGTGTACCTCCAGAAATGAGAATAAATGAGGATGTGGCACAGAGGAAATTTAGTTCTATGCAAAAAGTTCTTGTGGACCAGTAATTCAAAGGGTGTGAACTTAGTAACTAAAAACAGCCACTTCATTTTAAAGGCATGTGTTTTGAATGGGAAGAATTCTGTATTATCATTTGTCTTTCACTCAGGTTGTCATAACGTATAAACATTGCAGAATCACTGGGCTGGTACAGAATTAGAAATACTCTAAATGTGAACTGTTCACTGAAATCTGTGGATCCAATGACTTTCTATTCAGATATTCATGGAAACCACAAGTCTGATTTCTTCTGAGACTACTGTGTTCTCCCCTTTAGTTGGACATTCTTATTTGGAATTATGATTGATTCCGGATACTGATAGAAATGTTTGTTTGGAGGCAACTAACTCATGTGACCATTGTATATTGAAATTGGAAGATTCCTGAGCTACTAAATATGGAATCCCTCAGCTGGGGGCCTACTTGAAGGAATAATGTCTTGTTTTCAGGCTAGAAATCATCTATTCAGAAAGTTCTTGGTATTAGAAGGCACAGTGAAGGGGTACATTTGGATGAAATGAAAATTTTGCATAATATTAGTTTTACCACAGTGGTAATTTGTTTCACTGCATCAGAAAATAGGGACATAGAGAAAATTCTGTAATTGTAGATTACAGGCCATGCTTACAGCTGCGCTTCCTCCTGCCTCAAAACAAAGTTGGTGACAGTTGGATCTTGTTTAATAAAAGATGATAGACAAGTGTGAGACATCATTAACAGAAAAAAACTTCTAATTGAAGAATGGAAGGAAGCTCAAAGTTGTTTTCACTCAGCACCAATATAGAAATGTGTGTTTGAATTTTTTCTTTTTACTTGCATTCTCGGAGTGGAGCAATAGCACAGCGGGTAGCGCATTTGCCTTGCACACGGCTGACCCGGGTTTAATTCCTCCTTCCCTCTTGGAGAGTCCGGCAAGCTACTGAGAGTATCCTGTCCTCACGGCAGAGCCTGGCAAGCTCCCTGTGGCATATTTGATATACCAAAAACAGTAACAAGTCTCACATTAGAGACATTACTGGTGCCCGCACGAGGAAGTCGATGAACAGCAGGAGGACAGTGCTACAGTGCTACTTGCATTCTCAAATAACAGAACTACTTCCTCAATGGACAAGCGCTCCTTTCTTATGATCTCTACTTTCATTTTGCAAACACAATAGGGTGGGAGTGAAAAGGTCTGGGAGCATTAATATTCAGGAATTTTTTTTCCTTAAAATTTTTATTAGTGAAACGCCATGAGGTACAGTTGTAGACTTACAAATTTTTGTGCTTGGGTTATAGTTATACAATGATCAAATACCCATCCCTCCACCAGTGCCCATTCTCCACCACCAGCAGTCCCAGTATCCCTCCCACCCCCCTTCCCCCATTCCACCCTACCTCTGTGGCAGGGCATTCCCTTTTGTTATCTCTCCCCTTTTGAGTGCTGTGGTTTTCAAAAGAGACATTGAGTGGCAATCTTGTTCGGACTATAGTCTACTCTCAGCACGCATTTCCCATCCTGAGAGGAACCTCCCAACACCCTTTATTTGGTGCTCCCTTCTCTATCTGAGCTACCTTTTTATTCAGGAAATATTTTTTAGGAAAAATGGTTTCTCTCTTTTAAGAGTCATTGATATCTGAGAAAGTAGTAATAAATTGGAATTTATAAATGTGGCTAAGAGGGCAGTATTATAAAATTAAAATTATGTAATTTCATTTAAGATGTAGAAGATAGCAATGTATCCAGATGACTTTGGAGAAAATATTTTCAACCATCAAGACTGAGATAATGGAACTTTTTGAGTGATGAAGGCAAAGATTAGTGTGCATTTAAAAAAAAACAGTGATTTCTGTGTCATGGCAAGGTACATCAGCACTGGTTTTGTCAAGGCTGTGATTACTGAGTGAATAATTCCCAGGTGCTGCACTGTGTATGGATTGGCCCTACCAATGGGCTCAGAGAAGTCATTCTTCTCCAGTCTTGGTATTGAATGAACAGATCATCCACAGCCTCTCACTATATTGTATTCCCAGTTTGGAATCCTCCTCCCTATACTCACTTAGAATTTGCTTTCTTTCAAAAATGATTTAACCGGCTTTTCCTCGACCCTGACCAAATAGTGTCCTCACTGGAGAAGCTCTCCTGGTTCTTGGTTTTCTATACTGAAGTAATGAGGAGGAAAGACAGCTTTGGAATTAGATAGGTTCAATCCTGGTCTGAACAGTTGCTCCCACCATCAATTAAAGACCAGTATTATCCAGAACTTATTACTTAATCTTCATATTAAGCATTTTAATATGTATGTATTTTATAGTAGAAAATCATTCATATAATGCATCCTTCATGACAAAATTTAGCATTTTATACACACTATTAAAATTTCAATATATCTAAGATTCCACATAGTTACAGTGTATATACGTGTGTGTATATGTATATATATATATATGTTTTCTTTTCAGTTCATTAGTGATAAAAGCAAAATTCAGCTGTACTAAGTGATCTTTCTATCCTATGGTTGCCTGCAGATTAACTACTATGGCACACACCTACTCTAAGAATTTCTATCTTGAAAATCATCTTTTTCTACTGCAATGTTCTGTCTCCCATGGACACAAAATCAATTGGTGTAATGGTGCCTATAACATTCCACTTACACTAATATACTACGTATACTTCAATAAAAAGTTTTCTTGTGAGGCCAGAGATCGAGTACAGGATATAAGGCACTTACCTGCTGTGAACACAATTCGAATTCCTGACACTATTGATAGAGTACTGCTAGGGATCACTCCTTAGCACAGAGCCAAGAATAGCCTCTGAGCACTGCCCAGAACAAGTAGAGGAGGAAGAACCCTTTGGGGCCAGAAAGATAGTAAATAGGTAAGGAGCTTCCCTTGCTTGTGGTCAACTCTAGCTTGATCCCCAGCACCATATTAGATCCCCTGATCACTGCCAGGAGTAATACCTGAGAGCTGGGAGTAAGCCCAGAGCATCATTGGGTATGACCCAAAGGCAAAATGGAAATATTTTTTTTCTTCTCAGCTAGCCAGCGCATGGCTGTATTTCTGCCCTTTACCCTTAGTCTCTAGCTATGCTTGTTTTGACAGTTCCCCCCCACATATACCTTAGTGGTTTACCACAATAAAGCCAATCGGATTGGTCCTTTTTACCTGAAATAATGGAGACGATTTTTGTCCCCCTGGGACATTATGGCATCAAGTATTCAGTAGCAGAAGTGGAGTTTCTCTACTGCCATCACAGATTTATCTTATTCCTTCAGGCACCCTCAGTTGTCTTTGTGGGGATATTTACAATCCAGTGAATGTGTGGATGGACAAATAGCCTCATCTCCACCCATAAGGTGACAGCATTTTATTAAGGAAGTGGACAGCACGGTAGCCCAGAGACTGAGTAGTGAGGACTGCCATTCCAGGCAGACACTCAGAATGGGACGCTGCTGCAGAATAGCGGCTCCTTGCATGACTGCACACTTGAATCACTATTTTGAAAAGCCCCCAGGGATTCTGGTTGGGCCTCAGTGATTTCTATACATGATCCCACTTGGCGGCCACTGCAAGTATCTGGGCAAAGGCTATAGAAGAGTAAGTGAAGACCTAGTGTTCTTAGGGAGTCAGTGTTTAACCATAAAACCATCGGGACCTTTTTCATAACGGATGTGTTTTCTCTCCTATCCCTCTTCTCCAAGTAGAAAACAAATTGATTGGAAGCAGAGTTCACGCCTTGTAAATATTTGCTGTGAATTGTTGCTGTGAAAGGATCTCTCCTCCTCCTATACTCCTGAGCCCACAAGATTCACAGTCCTGAGTGAGGCAGAAGGATGCAGTTTAAATTATATCATTTTTTTTCTAAAATTGCTGAGATCAGAATCTTCAAATATGATCAGAACACAGTCTAGTTCCTCTATTCACTTATTTGTTATAGGTGGGGATGGACACCATATCCGCTAGTGCTTGTGACTGTTCCTAGCTTATGATTAAAGGTCATTCCCAGTGTTGTTCAGTGAACCAGCAATGTTAGGGATCAAATCCAAGCCTCCTGTATGCATAGCATGTGCTTATCCCATTAAGATCTTTCCAGCCCAGCCCAGCCCAATGCCTTTAAACCCCAATCTGGTAGCATAGTTAGGAAGACAGAGTAACTAGAAAAGGAATCAGTAATGGACCTACAGCACCCAGCCCCAAGGATTTTATTTAATTATTGCAATGGATTAAGGTTGATTTATACATTGTGTCCAGAGGACTTACCATACCACTCACAATGTTATTACTGAATTATTTATTTTAAATTGATAGCTATTAGCGCTGGTCCCACATAAGAAAGAAATGAAATAAAA